TTTGACTATAAAATGGGAATTCAGCATAGTTGTAGCCGTGTGAGTCCCAGGATATTAGAGACACAAGGTGGGTGAGGTAATATCTATTATTGGACCAGCTTCAGTTGATGAGAGAGACAAGCTTTCGAACAACACAGGGCTCTTCTTCAGATATGGGAAAGGAACTCCCCTCATCAAAGCAAAATGCAAGGTGGAACAGATAGCTTAGCACAAGTAGTTAGCACATATTGTAAGGGACCATCCAAGGTAGAGAGCCTCGCCACAGAACCTGATATCATACCAACATGTGAAGAACTAGAAGAATTCTTCCGCTATCTCCGCTTCAAAAAATTCTGTCACAACAATGATGACACCAATCACAACTACCATGTTCCCACCTACAGTCATAAGAAAAAAAAAATCCTCTGAGTGGACACTACAGAGTGGGCAAAACCACACTCTGGATCATTACATTGCTTCAGGAAAAAAAACTGACTGCGAAATCCTTAACATCACATCCACCATTATCTCTTCACTGCCAAGAGGACAGCCATATAGTCCCTGAAATCTAACCATCACATAGTGCTCAAACTAGCAAACGAAGGGGGTGCCATTGTAGTCCTCAAACATGATGACTACGTTAATGAGGCCAACAACTACTCTCTGACACCACCTACTACAAAGAACTCAGAGAAAACTCCACACCACAATTTACCCAGGAACTTAAGAATATCATCAAATCCTTCCACAAACAACTCTGAGACAGTCTACAAACTCATCCCCTGGGAACCCACCCCAGGGACCTTCTACATGCTTCCCAAGATACACAAACAAGATACAGGCAGACCCATCATATCTAGCCACAGAACACTTACTGAAGGAATATCAAGACTCAGAGATACCATCCTCAAGCCACACCCAGGGCCAGCTTCCTCCAGGACACGGCTGACTTCCTCCACAAGCTCCTCAATATTAACAACCTCCCTCAGAACGCTGTCCTTGCCACCATGGATGTCACTTCCCTATACACCATCCCTCACAATGATGGCACAGCTGCCTGCCTGAAATATTTACAAGACAGTGGACAACCCTAACCACCCTATATCCACCCCTAACACATCGCCAAACTCATCCTCACCCATAACAATTTTCCTTTCAACAACAAACACTTTCTCCAAACCATGGGAACGGCTATGAGTACTAGGACGGCTCCCCAATAAGCCAGCCTCTTCATAGGCCACCTTGAAGAAGAATTTCTGAATAAATGCACCACAAAACCAGTGATCTACCTGAGATACAGCGATGATATTTTCATCCTCTGGACAGAAGACTTAAACTTCCTCATAGATTTCCACTACAACTTCAACAACCACCACCTGTCCATTATACTCTCTCTGGAACACACTCATACCAGCCTCAACTTCCTGAACACCACAATCAGCTTCAGCAATGGAACTCTTCAGACAGCCATATACAAGAAACCCACAGATCACCACACCTACCTTCATAGGTTCAGTAACCAAACCAAACAGACCAAGATATCTGTTATGTACAGCCAGACACTCTGATACCACTGAATATGCTCCTAGGAGAAAGTTTGGGATATACTCCTTAACAAATTTAAAACTGCCTTCACCAAACGAGAAGTAGGATCGCATCATGGAATGGGACACCAAATACGCAGAAAGAACCTGCTGCAGTACAAAAATAAAAAACCCACTCTGACTGCACACACCTACTGCAGTTGTCACCTACTGCATCACACTGGAATCCATATGATGGGGTATCATCAAACAACTACAACCCATACTCAATGGGGACCCCATCCTGAAAGAAATCTTTCCTGAACTTCCACTTCTGGCCTTCAAACAACCCCCCAACCTCATCATCAGAAGCAAGCTCCCCACAGACCAGGACCCACCGACTCAAAGCGCATCAGATCCTGTCAGAACAACCGATGCAAAACCTGTAGACGTATCTCCACTGCTACTATGATCAACGCCCCCCACAACACACCTTTCCAGAGCCATGGATCCTACACGTGCCTATCACAATATGTGGTATACTTCATCCAGTGCACTAAATGTTCCAATAGGAATTATATGAAACCAGGCAATCACTACATTCTCAAATGAACTCACACAGGCAAATAAGACAAAAACACCGTATCACCTGTGGGTGAACACTTTTCATAGGTCAGATATAGAGTGATTGCTCCATCAGTCTTCATCCTCAAAGGAAACCTGCACAACACTTTCAAAAGATGAGCCTGGGATATATCTGCTAGATACCAAAAATCATGGACTGAACAGAAATACTAGATACATGGCTTATTATGACAATCTGTAAACCACTAACCCTTATAGTGCATTTAGTGCTTTTTGCTGTGATGCTGGGAGTTCCTTTCCCAGACATGAAGAGCAGCTCTGTGTGGGTTCAAAACTTCTCTCACCAACAGAAGTTGGTCCAGTAAAAGATGTTACCTACCCCACCATGTCACTATAAAATGGGAAGAAAATAAAGAATTACCAACATGTAAGTACAAAATCTTTTTTTTTTTAATTTAAAGAATGGACTTTAAAAAGAAACATGATTTTAAATCATTGATAGTTGAAAATTTGGAAGGGGGAAGAGGGAGTAATTATCTTTCACAAACTCCCTGAATCAGACTGGTTCAATTGACAGAGCTTAGAAACTCCATAGGGCATGTAAAGGAAAGGAGGCAGGGAATTCATTCTGTTAGTGTTGTGCTTGATGGGGATTGAAGGAGAGGGTGCATCAGTTCTGGCACTGAAAGGATTGCACTTGGTGGGATACATGGAAAAGAGGTTTTGTTGTGGCACAGAAAGAGTTACATTTATGGGGAAATGAATGGGTGTGGGGAATGAGCGCTGCCTTTCCATGTTCTCCTCTAGGATGGTTTTAGTGGAAGAAAAATGTACCTCTATTCCCCAACCTTATGGTTTACCTTTACCTTTACCTTAATGCTTCTCGTTGCCCTGCATGCATGCCTTCCCTGCATATCTTCTCTGCATCAATTTCCTCATCACACAGTCTCTCTCTCTCTCTCTCTCTCTCTCTCTCTCTCTCACTTTCTTACCATTCCATGTCTTTCAGGCCCCTTGCTAGGGGTACTGAATCAAAGATTGAGCACTCAAGGGGGAAGGCATTGGGGAGGTTAAAATTCCAACAACTACTATCCTTCCTGGAATGAGGTGTGCATATGAAAAGATGCTAAAGCTCAAGATGTTTTGATAACCAATGGCTTTGAGGCTGCAAGGTGAATAAAGAGTATAAATGGTGTGGGATGTCTGAGAAAAAGACCATTATAAATATTCTGTGATTTTTAAGAAAATAAAAACAATAGCTTTTAAAATTAGTAGATTGCTATCTTTGCACCATAAAGCTAGAAACTTACTTTTAATAAAAACTTAAATTAATATTACTTAAAATCTTACCAAGTCTTACCCAAAAGATTCAAAGGCAACAGTCATTAACACTCCTTACGAAGGGCAAGGGTTGTGGATTTTCCATCACTGGCGCAAAAAAAAAAAAAAACAATCAAGATTAGATGTTTTTCTAAAATATATGGTGTAGTTCAAACAGAAATTATTTCAGGGAGGTTCTATGATCCATTTTATGCAGGCGGTCAGACTAGATTATCACAATGGTTCCTTCTGACCTTGAAAGCTAAAAATCTCTGAATTGTTGAGGACAACCATGTTAACACTACTTGAGGGTCAATACTGTACTTTAAATATAATGTTCCAAAAAAGTTAGACCAGTTTTACTAAAATGAAATAGATTTGATTTTTCAGACTTTCGTATTTCACTTACATCCTGTTCAGTTATCCCCAAAACATTATTTATAGACTCTTATTCCTTAGATGACCACATTTAGGAAATGTCAGGTATATTGATTTAGTTTTGGCAAAGTTAGTGAGCTAAGGTTGGTTAATTAATTCCAGCTTTATCTATGGAGCGGTATCATTTCACTGTAATACTATGAGACCATAACTTCTGTTTGAGCTGTAGCATATCTATTAGAAAGATATCTAGTCTTCATTTAAAGACTTCAAGTGATGGAGAATTCACCAAATCCCAAGGTAAATTGTTCCAATTTATTCAACTTTTTGCAATCTATCCGTTAACCAGTTTTTAATCCACTTAATATAGGCTGCATTGATTTTGTATAGTGTAAATAGATTTAATAATAAAACATGATCTCATCAAAAAACAGTAACAAGTTTGTTTGACAAGAACTATTTTTCATAACACCGTATTGATTAGCATTACCAGTGTTACAGAACTTGGTTTGTGATTACAAAAAAAACCCAAATCTCTTGCTTGTTTCAATGTATTTATCTGGAAGGTGAGAAAATGTTTCTGTACTTAGCTTCTATATTATGTATCTTCACAAAGGTACTCTATCTTTCTGTATTAAAAAGTGTGTAACTATGCATTCACTGCCTTTACCGCTTGGTTATTGGCATTCCTCATCTTATATTTCAATGTTACTTATTTAACATTTTCAGTTACATCCCTGGAGCATTTTACATGAGTGGAGATCTACTGTATATTATTGGAGAAAAAAAATTACTTGTAATTTTTGTTCTCAGAAGATAGTGATTATAATAGATCCCCACTTACCCTTCTATCTTCTTCACAGATTTGGAGATGTTCTATTATATCTACTCTATTATTCTTTCACCTGAAAAAAGAACTGATTGTCAAAAGCAGTGCTGGCTCATCAGCACTTAAATGTACCAGGCAAATGAAGTGGCCTAATAGCTTGAAATTTAAATAGGGTGTTTCTGCCAGTCACACAGAGGGAGCACAAGCCAAGAGTGGAGATCTATTTACCCCTTACCACCTTTGAGTACAAGAATTACAATTATGGGAATTTTTTTTACTTACTTAGTCACTTCAGGGGAAGCCTTTGCTCTGAAGATCATGGGCATTTTTTAATCAGACATTTAAAGTGATCTGCTGACCTTTGACAAATTATTTCGGTCATCTAGGAAGAACAAGCATGGCTGTGACATCTGTCGCTGTAAGAAATGCCCAGAACTTCCTTGTGGTAAGATCTGTCCAATGGGCTTCCAGCAGAATAATCATGGTTGTCTTCTCTGTAAGTGCAGAGGTAGGTGTGAATGCATTACCTCCATATCTATGTTTGTTTCAAAGCAATTAGAAGCTAGGAGAAATGGAAAGGAGTGGTACATTATATTAATAAGACTTGCAACTTGGTAACTCAAATGGTGGTAGTCAATTTCATTTTCTGTAGGGGAGGACCCCGTATAGTAGGGCTTTGTTACCATTTGTAGTTTTTGTGTTTTAATGTCAGTCTAGTAAAGGTACACATCAGAGTTTTTTTGACATTTTAGACCCCAATGCATCTTCCAGTGAGAGTCAGTTGATTACCTTTAGTAGGATTTCAATCAGGCCCTTAATAAGCCTGAGAAAACTGATTGAATTTCTCTTTGCTTCTTTCACTGGAATATGTGTTCTTTAAATCTATATTTAAATTTTTTTAAATATTTCATTTGACTGCCACCTGACCCAATTCACTGTACATCATTGCATCAGTATTTGCACGTTGCTTTGAATGTATAAAACATTATATAAGTGCTAAGTAGTAGTATTTCAACTGAGCTGTAGGTTGCTTGGTAGCTAGGTGAATATTATTTTTTTCTGATCCTGTTTAAATACATTTAATCTTAAGTATTATCGAAATAATTTGCTATTTCATCCCTCTGCGTCCAACAAGTTCTTAGAGACTTCTGGTTTGTTAAGTAAAATTAACAAATAACTATTTATTTTGTTAAAATATATGATTCTTAAAAGCTTTTACTTTTGTAAGTTCACTTCTCTTGTCTGTAGAAGAAAACTTAAGGAAAAAAGTTGGTCTGTGGAAAACTTCAGTTTTCCTTCGAGTCACAATGAACAGTGTCAAAGCTTGGCAATAATGCACAAGTTTTGACTTAACCTTTGGAGACTTTTTATGTTCCTTCCTATTGGCTATGTACAATATGATCCATATAGTTTTATAATAGCTAAACAGTGCTGTATTAATAAACAGCTGGGATTTATTTCAACAACATTTTGCAAAATGTAATTGAGATAAGATATTTAAATTTCTCTTTAGTGAACAATACAAATGTTAATCAGTGTTAAATAGTGTTACTAGCCTCATGCACTCTCATGGTCTTCTATTACCTCTATTCTGACACCTCTCATGTGCCTCTCCACCTCCTCTCTCCAGGTGTGCATCACTTCCTGTCTCTTATATCTCTTCAAGAATGTCCTGCAGTTTCTTAAACTAAACATGTTAACACTAAACTATACTTCTTATATAGCCTCCTAATGACTCTTCTGTCCACGCTTTCTCCATAACCGTTAAAAACTCCATTTCCTCAAAGTTATATTTTCTGGGTTATCTATAACTCTACTCTATCTTTCTCTCCTATATCAAAGCACTCACTATATCTTACTGCTTTTCCTTCAATAACGTTTCTAAAATCTACTCTTCCCTTTCCTTCTCCACAGTCAAGACCATGTTCTTATACTGCTTCGACTGCTATAACTTCTTTCTTTCCCATCTTTAATATATTCAGTGTTCAGCAGCTAAAATGGTAACCATTTCTCACTCCTTAAAAATGAGGCTGAGGAGTTTGTTTTATGCAGAAAGAGACAGGAAGTTGGTGAAAGGAAATGAGCTGGGGTTGGCATGGTGAAATGCCTGACTCTCACTGTTGAGGCTCTGCAAGAGCTCTGCCCCTGCCTACATCTCATCTCCTGTGACTCTAAAACTTTCCTCCTGGTCTCTGCCACTCTTCACACCTCATTACTCTACTTTTCACCTCTTACTACTCTCACCATTATGGCTTTTTTCCCCACTGATTTCTCTATAGCTGGAACAACATCCCTCTTCTTTTGCACCCAGCATCCTCATGCTTTCCAATCTCTCTTCAAAACCTATTTCTACTCTACCATTCTTGTCATATCTCAAATGCTGTTTAAATATATTAGAATATAAATTATTCACTCACTGTGAATATGTATATAGAATAATAGGACTCAGATTATTTTAGTTTGTTTTAATCATTGTCCTTCATTTCCCTATACTTTTTATCTGTCTTTATATTTTGTCATATGTTTGGCTAATTTAGGTTCTTTGAGCGGGGACCATGTACTTTTCAAATTTCCAAAGCACCATCCAAACCTATGGCTTAATTTTCTGTTGCCACATACGGCCACTGCCTCAGTTTTCTTACCTCATCTGGGTAATTTACTTAGCTTTATGCATAGCTTCTTTGTCAGCTGTGGCTTGCTTACCCTTCTGTTCTTGCCTCTTATCCCTCCTCTTAGGCCTGTCTGAAATTTTCTTCCAGGGCTTCCATCTCCTGGACTCTCTACCACTATACAAGCTCCCTCCGTAGTGAAAACCACTGCCAATTTTGCCTCTTTCCTGATCTGTATTACTGGGGCTTTTCTACAGCTCTGTCCCCTTTCCCAGCATGCACTTCTGCCCAGACTACAATGCTCAATGTCATTCTGGGGCTCAACCTGTGAACAGGCTGTGGCGGCCATGTGATCTTCTTTCTTGAGGGCCAGCACATGCTGGGTCTATATCAGTGTTTATTAATAAATAAATAATAAATAAATAATAAATAAATGTCAACAGTAAAAATGTAAAAGTCCTACAGTCTGTACTTTTCTCCCAGCATCTCGCTCTACACATGAGTATATGCATGTACGCATGCTGCTCTAACGAACTGTTTTAAATAGTTGTACTTTTCATCAATTGTTAGCTTTTGCTCAGCCTGCATTCACACAACCCTGAAGTATGAGTGTTAGTCACACAGCAATTTTTACTTTGGGATTTACATGTGCACAAAATTTACTTTTATATTAATTCTCTTAACATTGTAACAGTTGCAAGAGTTACATATCTAAATAGGTTTAAACTGTGTTTTAGCACTTAAATAAAGGCTACTTTGTGCAATTAAATTTCCCATGTCCATCCAGGCCATTCCTTCAGCTGTAAAAGTATAGCTTGTACTATACCAGTCCTGAGCACAATCTCATTTATTTAAAGGACTTGGGGACATCGGAAATCTTCAGATAAACAGGATTTTAAATGAAACTTGGAGGTAGTTGGCCAGCTAGCTTTAGAGGAACTATGATCTCAGGCATTCCAGATACCTGCACAATCTGGTGAGACACAGTAAAACCATTCTTTTGTTAATCAGGTCTTTTGGTTAACCAAAGATTGCTTAAACAAGGAGGTACAGTTACACCACTGTATATGTTCATGTATACTTGTTCAGCTACATTTTCTAATACAAACATGTCTGTGTATGTCAAGTTTTTTTGACCCTTATAATTTTCAGATGCAGTAGAGTCATAGAAATTCGGGTTGGCAAACATCTAGAAGGACACTCAGCCTATCTCTGTGCCAATGTAGAATAGGGCTTGAGACCGGTGTAACTCTGTCCAACATGTCCCCTTTTAATAGGCAACCTTTAGTGAGGCAGGCAATAATTCTTGAGTGGTCTGTAGGCCTTGTACTAATGCCATGTAGCATGTGGATTAACCACTGTTGCCCTTTGTAACATCCTTACATGGTAATGTAACGTTACTGTAGGCAGCAAGCACTGTATAACAGTGCATATCACCTTACGGTAGACAAGTTTTTGAAAAGATGAATTCTAAACTGCTTATCTATTTTCCCTTTTTTTTTAAAACCTAACCAATTCCATGTTTCTTGGAAGACTAAGATCCCTGCATTCTCTGTAGCAAACTAGGCTTAAATTATTCAGCACTCCAGTGCAGCAGACTAAAATACCTGTGGCTACTTCAAGTACATTTAATAACAGAGTTTTATTTTGCATTCACTGTGGAAAATGAATGATAACAATCAATAAAGTATTTCTTGTGCTATTTAATTCTTATGTTAAATTCCGTTGTCATGCTGCTCCTAGATGTTTAATGTGCCCATGATTTTTATTTGTAATGCAACTTTGTACTGTAAACATTGTATTGGGGAAGATGTAGATTTTGGCAGCTGTGTAAGAGACCGTTTGGTTTTTGGCTCTAAGGTAGGCACGGAAAGCACTTTGGTTTTAGAGCACCAAGAGGCAGTTGCAGCTTTTGCCAGAGGGGAGGACTTGATTTCTTCTTTCCCAATCCTAGCAACCTTTGACAGCAACCAGCAGCACCACTAGTTCCTATTCCTGTATCTGCTAGTGCAGCTAAAATTATAGATAAACACATTAATGTAGCTGAATGTTTTAAGCCAAAATGATGGGCAATGAAAGAGTAACAGTGTTGATTATTATTATTTAAGATGATGTCATTAGGTCTGAGTCAACACCTCATTGAGATAATCAGGAGTCTTTTAGAGCTACTGTTTGACAGCTTGCATACTCATGTAGACAATTCATCAGTTTAAACTTAGTTCCCATTTGGAAATCTATCTTCACAACTATAAGAGTTAAAACTTTTTTTCTTTGTAAAAGGTTAGATTCTGGAGTACAATTCTGAGAAATTCCTAGGGCACAGAATTCCAGGATACTTGGAGACTTATCTTAAAAAAAAAAAAAAAAAAAAAAACCCTATAATCAACTTAACAAATCTGGAACTAGAAATTCTAGATTTTCTATTTTTATTTACCATGTCTGAGATCTAATCTTGTTAAATAGTTAAGTGGCCTAAAATACAAAATAGTGGACTGTCCTGTAGGTTATAACTTGAGTAATGAGTGTCTGTTTCATTTGCTGGTTTTTCTTTATATCACACAACTTTGAAAAGAGTGTCATTTTTTTTCTTTCTTTTTTTTTACAAAAAACTACCATTGAATTCTACTCTAGTGAATTTTTTTCTTTGCTAATGGAACAAGTTTACATGAGCAGATCATAATCATCTCATGTCTGATTATAGTTCACTCAGAAAAGTTGAATAATACATATTCATTTTCAGTGGCCGAGTTCATTAAAAAGAATACTGCTGCTATTGATCTTCCTGGAATTAAATCACTTTAACAATATAGCTAATTAGGGAAAATAGATACAAGAAACATACTGTTTATTTAGTTTTCTATTTTTTCAGACAAGACATTGAATAACAAAATACAGATGT